AGGCAATTTTTCTTTTTCGTATTTTTGCTATTGTTGTCATACGTTTTTTGTAAAGAAGTTAGGCTGTAGAAGTAATAGTTTGCCTTATGGCAATAGAGAAAAACACAGGAAGAAAAAAATTGGGGATTTTGGAAATTTTATAGTTAAAAAATAATAATAATTGAAAATAATTTGTCATATAGAATTGAATTATTTTAAGAATGTGTTCGGGAGACATTTGATTTTATTCAAGTCATGAAGACTTTTATAGAAGAGAGTTGTAGACGAGCTGAAGGGAGCCTCCATAGATGAGCTGAAGGGGAGTCTCCATAGATGAGCTGAAGGGAGTCTCTATAGACGAGGAGAAGGAAATCTCTCTAGACGAGCTGAAGGAAGCTTTTATAGACGATTTTAAATTATGAAGGATTTTTTGACCGAATTTTGAAAAATTGCGTTTTTATAAATTCCAATAAATGTGTATTTTTTCAGTGTATTTTATATCACACAGACATATCCATTATACTATTTATTTTGTTTATCTCTTTTTGTAATATTCTGTTTCCTTGCATACGTGCTACTCATAAAAAGGAATGATGCCAAATGAGAATCTAAGTTTTTATACCCTTCACCACACTGTCGTACAGGGTATTATGTCTTTGTGCATATGTTTGTAACAGGCAAAAATAATCGAGATAGGCCCATGGTTCCTTTTGAGAATATGCATAGAATCACTTTCTGAGTCGATTTATGCATGTCCGTCCGTCCCTCTGTCCATGTTAAATTGTAAACAAAGTACAGGTCGCATTTATGATCTGAATTGGTTGAAATTTGGCACAGCTCATTTGTTTGGCACAAGGACGAACCCTATTGAAATTGGGGAAAATCGGTTCAGATTTAGGTATAGCTCCCATATATATTTTCGTCCGATTTAAGGTAAATTTGGCACCGAAGTTCCTATATATCTTTCGATTTGCACGAAATTTGGCACAGCATACTAAATTAAGTCTAGAATGATGTAAGAAAAATTTTGAGAAAATCGGTTCAGATTTCGATATAGCTCCCATATATAGCTTCGCCCGATTTTAGGTAAATAAAGTCTCTGTAAAGTCTCACTAAAGTCTCTGCAAATCTTTTGATTTGCACGAAATTTGGCACAACGTACTGGATTAAGTCTAGAACGATGTGTGAAATGTTTTGAGGAAATCGATTCAGATTTGGATATAGCTCCCATATATACTTTCGCCCGATTTTAGGTAGTCCACTAAAATCCCTGGAAATCTTTTGACTTGCACGAAATTTAGCACATCATAATGAATAACGTCTAGAATGATTTTTGTCAAGTTTCGTTAAAATCGGTTCAGATTTAGATATAGCTCCCATATATATCTTCGTCCGATTGAAGGTAAATTGTGTTACAAAGTCCCTATATATCTTTCGATTTGCACGAAATTTGGCATAGGGTACTAAATTGTGTCTATAATAATGTGTGCTAAGTTTCAAGAAGATTGTTGCAGATTTAGATATAGCTCCCATATATAGTTTCGCCCGATTTTAGGCAATTGGTGCACCAAAGTCCTTGGAAATATTTTCATTTGCCCGAATTTTGGCATTACGTACTGAATTAAGTCTAGAATGATGTATGCAAAGTTTCGTGAAAATCGGTTCAGGTTTAGATATAGCTCCCATATATAGCCTCGCCCGTACTGATGTAGTAAAAATTAGTCTCTGGCAAGTTTCCCTGAAATTGGGGCACAAAGCTATATATATATATATATATAACAAAAACGCCTCGTCTGTTAGGATACATATGTAAAATATACCCAAATCTGTGAAGAGTATCATATAGTCGGCCCTGTCCGACTTTACTACTTACCTTACTGGGTTTTTGTTGTTTTCTCTAGCCATTAGAGGACATTGTTATTTATTTGAATTGTGTGTCATTAAAGGCAAATCTAAATTGAAATATTACAAAAGATATTGGATATAGAAAAATAAACATAAATTATGATACCTCAATAATAATTCAAAATTTTCCTGCCTTTGAAAATACTTGCTATTGATTTTTTATTAAATATTTAAAATAATCCCTTTAATTGGCTATCATTAAAAAACCAAACTTTTCTAAACTTTGAAATTGTAAAATTTCTGCTTTTTCATAAGTCACAAACAACTTCCACAGAATTACTGTCATGTTGACTGACTTTGGAAAATATTGTTGCCAGTCTATCAGGTTGTTGCTGTTGTTGTTCTGCTTGTTCTTTTTCTACGACAGGAACAATTAAAAACTAACTTCTTAAGTTCATATTTATATTAACTATTAGCTAACTATATAAAATTAATAGTAAAATGAACTTTCGACACGAATAAAAGTTTTATTTTTTGTGTATTGGAGATGAACTCCAACTCCAACAAAATGTTATTGACTTTTGAACTGTAAACTGATAATAATAACTACAACATGATGATATGTTATGATAAATCTGGTATTATATTTGAGGAGAATATTTTATAAAAATTAATTATAATTAATTTATTGGATTTAACGAAAAAAGGCAAAAGGGTGCCACAATTTTGATTCATAGTTTTTATAGAACAGATGAAAGGAGTCTCTATAGATGAGCCGAAGAAAGTCGTTCATAGACAAGCTGAAGATAGTTTTTGTGGACGAAGTTAAGGGAGTCTTTATAGACGAACGGGAGTCTTTATAGGCGAACTGAAGGGACTAGTCTAGCTGACGAGTGTCTTCATAGACGAGCTGAAAAGGAGTCCCTATAGACATACTGAAGGCAGTCTTTAGATATATATATATATATATATATATATAGCGCTCTCTGTTGACGAGCTGAAATGAGTCTCAGTTGGCGAGGTGGAGGTATTTTCCTCTAGTTCGCATATATAGACTCGTTGTCCCTTCAGCTAGTCTATATATACACTCCTCCAACTCGCCTTTTATGACTCCCAGGCCCATTAGCTCATCTATAACGCCTCCAAGGTCCTTCAGGACACTTTTCCCTACCTCACAATCGACACAAACAACTATTTAAGTCATATTCAAGGGATAGATTAAAAAAATCCATAAGGTAAGTTGTAAAGTCGGACTGGGCCGACTATATGATTCCCTTTACCACTTTGGGTATATTCTACATATGTATCCAACAGACGACGCGTTTTTGTTATATATCTATATTTGAACCAATTTCAGGGAAACTTGCCAGAGACTAATTTATATTACTTCAGTACGGTGTGTCAATCGGTCTAGCAACATCATTCTAGACTTAATTAAGTACCCTATACCAAAATTTGTGCAAATCGAAAGAAATATAGGGTCTTTGATGCACCAATTACCTTAAATCGGATGAAAATATATATGGGAGCTATATCTAAATCTGAACCGATTGTCACGAAACTTTGCACACATCATTCTAGACTTAATTCAGTACGCTTTGCTAAAATTCGTGCGAATCAAAAGATTTCCAGGGACTTTAGTGGACTACTTACCTAAGATCGGGCGAAGTTATATCTAAATCTGAACCGATTTCCACGAAACTTTGCACACATCATTCTAGACCTTATTTATTACGCTATGCCAAAGTTCGCGCATATGAAAAGATTTTCAGGGACTTTGGTGCACCAATTGCCTAAAATCGGGCGAAACTATATATGGGAGCTATATCTAAATCTGAAAATTCAATAGGGTTCGTCCCTGGCCCAAACAAATGAGCTGTGCAAATTTCATCCAATTCGGATAATAAATGCGACCTGCACTTTGTTTACAATGGACAGACGGTCATGCATAAATCGACTCAGAAAGTGATTCTATGCAAATTCTCAAAAGGAACCATGGGTCTATCTCGATTATTTTTGCCTGCTACAAACAGGCATAAAGACATAATACCCTGTACTACAGTGTGGTGAGGGATATACAAGTTGAGACTCTATACAAGGCGTAGATTTTTTAAATAATTTTTTCAAGGCTCTATACAAGGCGTAGATTTTTATACCCTACACAACTATGTTGTCAGGGTATTATAGCTTTGTGCAGCCCCAAAAGTTTGTAACGCTGCGAAATATTGGTCCTAGACCCACCTTTAAGTATACCGATCGTCATATCTCGACTAGCCGACTCGATCTAGACATGTGTGTCCGTCCGTCCATTATAATTTGCAAACACGAAACAGGCCACAGTTATAGACCAATCTTCACAAAATTTTGGACCAAATACTAAATTTTTGTCAGGTTTTCTTGTCGCTCCAGAGGCCACAATTATGGCCCGAACTTCGCGGAATTTTACATGGAGAAAGAGATCGGGCTAAAGAATAATGACAAAGATCGGTCATTATTTATCGGGTTAAATGGACCATGACTTTTGTGTCAACAATGACAAAATTTGTATTCTATGGCGTATATATTTACTCGTGAAGCATATAGACCCGCGAAGTCGATAGTGTATCCAAGAGGAATGGTTGACCTTCAAAAGTGACTCCAATTACATTGTCGTATGTACTGGGATGTGGGAGTTACACTTAAATATTTACAGGTGCTTACGTATTCAGATATTATTTAGTAACCCATTGCCACATTAGAGTGCGAACATATTGCGCTGAACCCTTTAAAATTTTCTATAAAGTTCCAATTATTTTAATCGATGATGATCAGATTAAAATTTTGGGATGAAGTGGACCGAAAATTTAATTTTTTTGTGTGTTTTCTAATAGACTGTGACCGCAGAATTATAGAATTTTCTAACCGCAGAATTATATATCCATTTTAAAAAATCCCCTATTATTTAAAACTCAATATTATCAACAACTGTTCCCCTATCTTCTAAAAACTCGTCGCCAACAACTACTTAACAACTTTCCATGCAAACACCAGAACATCAACTGCCCTCCGATTGTTTGTTTGGACCGCCATGTACTTTGCCAGGACATTTGCTCATTTTTTCGTTTTCTGCCCCCAAACTCTACTCGAGCAGTAAACAATTGTGATTTGTTTGTTTTTTTTTCGTGTTGCAATTCTAGGTATGGTGGTCACCCTGTCCCAGTCGTGAATGCCCCGAGGAACAAGAACTTAAATTGGCTGTAAGTCAATGCACGGACTACTGTTTACTGCAGGAACCAGCCGCAACATCAAACTTATTTAGTCCATCACCAGAGTATTATACACCATCAACGTCAACAGCATTGCCGGGGCCCTCACCATCATCGTCACTACCACCAGTTGTATCCCCATCATCATTTGCTGCATCGACATCAACACATAAAAGTTATATGTCAACAACTTCTAGGCCTGCCATGGCGACGGACGACGGCTTGGATGATTATGGTTCGTCAACGACAGCCAAAACTAGAGAAACACCAACAACATCGCCATCATCGTCATCATCATCGGTAATGCCTGAGGATGTTGGTGGTAGTTCCACCACAAGTCGAAGTATATTCCAAGATGTACTTAATATGTCAGCGACAATGTTCCCGCCTGTAGTGACATCTTTATCCTCGATGTCTATGTTGGAACGTCAAGATTGGAATGGTAAGTAGATATTTGGATTTTTTATTAGACTTGTTGTTGTTGTTTTTATTGCTGTTGTAGTAGAAATATGTAATGTATTGTTTTTGTTGTGATTGTTCCGTCTCATATTATTTACCATGTGAGGTTCGTACATAGCTAACAATGTGTATCCTGAAAACCGATTGTTGTTCCCGCAATTCTGAACTCCTGTTATTCAATGCTGCCCAGACATGAGTATTTGTTGGTGCTCTGTTATCACTACACTACCACAACAACAACAAATGAAATTATTTCCATTTAATGTTGTTTACATTTGTTGGACTCCGCAGGTGTCACGAAGTCAAAAGGTGAAAGCGTAAAGATTATTGCTATGGGAATTGATTTGTCTGGCATGGAATACCAAATGCGACTCGATCGCTGTGTGATAGATTTATGGTACTGGAGGGAAATCAGAAATTAATCGGAATCCACGTTGAATTGTTATTTTGGGAATGCGAGCGAAAATCAGTTACTGAAACATTACATAGAATAGGGGAAGAGGTTGAAACGAGCGGAGGTAAAGAAGCATATGTTAGATAAGGCGTAGATTTGTTTAAAATAACTTTTTAGGGCTCTTTACAAGGCGTAGATATCGAATTGGATGACATTTGGGATAGCTCAATTATTTGGCCAAAGGACGAACCCTATTGAAATTGGGAAAAATCGGTCCAGATTTAGTTATAGCTCCCATATATATGTTCGTCCGATTTAAGGTAAATGGTGTATCAAAGTCCCTATATATCTTTCGATTTTCACGAAATTTGGCACAACGCAATGAATTAGGTCTAGCATTATGTGTGTTAAGTTTCCTGAAAATCGGTTCAGATTTCGATATAGCTCCCATATACATTTTCGTCCGATTTAAGGTAAATGGTGCACCAAAGTACCTATATATCTTTCGATTTGCGCGAAATTTGGCGTAGCGTACTAAATTAAGTCTATAGTGATGTGTGTTAAATCTCGAGAAAATCGGTTTAGATTTCGATATAGCTCCCATATATATATATTCGTCCGATTTAAGATAAATGGTGCGCCAAAGTCTCTATATATCTTTCGATTTGCACGAAATTTGGCATAACGTACTGAGTTAAGCTTAGAATGATGTGCGCTAAGTTTTGTGAAAATCGGTTCAGATTTAGATATAGCTGCCATATATATTTTCGTCCGATTTTAGGTAAAAAGTGCACCAAAGTCCTTTATATCCTTATATTTGCACGAGATGTGGCATAGCGTACTGAATTGAGTCTTGAACGATGTGCTAAGTTTCGAGAAAATCGGTTTCGATTTCGATATAACTCCCATATATATTTTCGTCCGATTTTGGGTTAATGGTGTACCAAAGTCTCTATATATCTTCCGATTTTCACGAAATTTGGCATATAGTAATGAATGAGGTTTAGAATGATGTGCGCTAAGTTTCGTGAAAATCGGTTCAGATTTAGGTATAGCTCCCATATATATGTTCGTCCGATTTAAAGTAAATGGTATACCAAAGTCCCTATATATTTTCAATTTGCACGAAATTTGGCATAGCGTACTGAAGTGAGTCTAGAACGATGTGTGTTAAATTTCATGAAAATCGGTTCAGATTTAGATATAGCTCCCAAATATATTTTCGTCCGATTTAATGTAAATGGGTCACCACCGTCCCTATCGAAGGATGTGATTTGCACGAAATTTGGCATAGCGTACTGAATTGCGTCTAGAATGTTGTGTGTTACGATTCGGGAAAATCGGTTCAGATTTTGATATAGCTCCCACATATACATATATATATATATATATTCGTCCGATTTTACATAAATGGTGCACCAAACTCTCAATGTTTGTCCGATTAACACGAAATTTTTATTTGATTTTGCTGAATTTGGTGCAGATGCAGCCATAGCTTCCATATGTATTTCGAACAGGTGTCTGATTGAAATTAAATTTTTAACAATGCGACGTACCGTTTTCCATAAATTTGTCCCATGGTACGCAGACGACTCTACATCTGCCCGAATGCAATTAAATTTAGCATATGTTTGCTGAAAGGCATGAGTATGTTCCTGCGCATATTGATATGCAATTGTGAGGTTACATATATAATATACCCAAAGTGGTGAAGGGTATCATATTGTCGGCCCAGTCCGACTTTACTACTTTGCTTATTGATTTTTAAATAATTTTGTGGAGGATCTATAGAAGGCGTAGATTAAAAAAAAAAAAACATTTTAAGGCTCTATACAAGGCGTTGATTTTTATACCCTACACAACTATGTTGTCAGGGTATTATAGATTTGTGCAGCCCTAAAAGTTTGTAACGCCGCGAAATATTGTACCTAGACCCATATTTAAGTGTACCGATCGTCATATCTCGACTAGCTAGACATGTGTGTCCGTCCGTCTGTCCATTATAACTTGTAAACACGATACAGGCACAGTTATGGACCAATCTTCTTGAAATTTTGCATGTAGGATGGGTTCTGGCCAATGAAGACCCCTATTGTTTTTTTGTACAGATCGGTTAATATATAGGGGATGAAATGGACCAAATACCTAATTTTTGTCGGCTTTTCTGGTCGCTCCAGAGGCCGCAATTGTGGCCCAAACATATCGATTTTACACGAAGAAGGGGATCGAACCAAAGAATAAGCATACTTGTTTTGATAAAGATCGGTCAGTATTTAGCGGGTCAAATGGACCCCGACTTTTATGTTAAAAATTACAATATTTTTATTTTATGGCGTATATATTTACTCCTGAAGGACATAGACCCAGTTATGCTCAAGGACAGCGCCTAAAATGTAAGGTGATGATCAGATAATAATTTTTCGGATGAAGTGGACCGAAAAATTAATTATTTGTACTTTTCGAGTCGAACGCCGAACATCACAACACAACCCACGGTGAAGGGAATGTGGACAAGTAATTAGAGGGTCTGTACTGATTATTAGTAACATGTGTTGACCTCTAGCCAGTCAAAAATGTGCAAATATCGCGAAATATTTTTTTTATTAATTTCTCTTTCGAGATGAGCTACATGATCGCAGTTTCTATGAAAAGGAAAGTCAGAGAGATACTACATTCCCACCACTATGCGACGCGTTTCGCCGTTGTTTAAACGGCTCATCAGGCATATTGGGTAATGTGGCTTACACATGTCTTTACTTGATAAGTTTTATTTATGTCGACTATTGTTGTAAAATTGCATCTACGAATTGAATTCAACCGTGTCAAGGTTTGGACATTTGGCATCACACCAGAACATTCCTTTTCAGAGCAGATTTTTCTTGTAGTGACGGACTTTTTTCCATACAGACTACAATATTTTTCTTCAATGGTATGCAACTGCATATTGTGCAACCTTAGGAAGATAAGGAGGTGGCTTTGAACGCTAAGACGCCGGACATCAACAGACGCCATGGGAACCAGGGTTCAAATCCCAGCCGGGCTCAACCTTTTTATGTCTTTTTAGGGCGAAGGATCATTCATGTAAATGTTTTTTCTTAATATCTCTTTCGAGATGAGCTACATGATCGGAGTTGCAAAGAATGCCCAATCTCAGAATATAGAACCACAGAAAGTTAGATTTTTATGGAAGTTGTGTAGGATATCATATGGTCGGCCCCGTCCGACTATACTGCTCCGCTGACTGGTTTACATGTTTATTTTAAGGCTTTATACAAGGCGTAGATTTTGTAAATAACTTTTTTAAGGCTCTCTGCCGATCACATAACCTCTTGCAGGCGGTAACCAAGGCATAAAATCACTTCACAAGACCATCATCATGTCAACAGATATCTATGTAATTTTTCCAACATATAAGTAGTGCCTCTTGTCGGATGTCTGAGTAGCTGTGACAGTAGCAGCAGAATAGGCGCTCAAGTGTATTGTCATTAAAATTGTATTGAGTATTCTTTGTAATACATATCTCTAATGATTGTCATCATTCAATTCAAGTTCTTTTTCACATGAAAAACATATTACCGAACTTTTTTGTTTCAAAATTCTTTTGTGAGTGTATGCCTGTGTGTGTTTTTGTTGAAAATCAAAGCTTAAAACGTTCTTTTGTTTCAATGAGATTTCAATTAGTTAATGGAATGTTTAGAGTATTGAATGAAACAAAAGAACATATGTTTTTGTCATAGAATGTTTTATTATCTAGATAATATTGAAATTCCAATCGAAAAATATATGAGGGTGTCGAATTGAGACGCATACTTGATAAAATGCTGGTATATGAGACGTTTTGTTCTTGCAGATTGGAATGAGATAACACATTTAATTAAAATGACAATTAAAATTAAATTCTTGATGATATTAAATCTTTTTTGGCAAAAAACGGGAATAACAATGTAATTAAATGAGAAATTAGGAGGCCTTATATTTGGGGAAATAATTCTTTATTGAATAGAAATTAAACAACTGAAAAGCGTTAAGGAACATACCAAAAAGTGGGCATATACCGATAATTATACAAACCGATTTATATAGTTCATTATGTACACCAAATACAAACTTCAGCAATTTTTAATGGGGATTTTTTCCTAAAATCTGTAAGATCCAAAAAGTGTACTGATACTGATAACGCATGGTAGAGTATAAAATCCTCAAACAACTGTAATTTAGATTACAAAGTTATATGAGGCTATGCCTGAAGGGGGGACAATACTGATAACATAGTATAGGAAATAGTGAATATTTGGAGATATCATTATATGAGGGCTATGCCTAATTAATGACCGTTATATGCTAATATTGAACCCAATATTTAAATTGTTTATTTGAATTCTATATTGAGGAGATGCCTAAATGTCTGCCGATATATTTCATTATCGTCATGTTTGAGTTTTCTTTTATCACAATATCTTTAGAAGGCGGAATGTTTACAACAGATGGCTAAATAGTCTTTGCAGGGTAAACATTTACTATTATAAAACCAGTAAGGAAAGTGGTAAAGTCGGACGGGGCCTACTATATGATAGCCTTCACCACTTTGGGAATATTCAACCGATGGAATCCTAACAGACATCGCAACCTATACTAAATTTTGGTCAGATATAGAGTTAAAATAAATTTAAAGCAAAATATCGAAATCTAAACCGATTTCATCAAATCTTGTCAAATGTTAGGTTACACTTATTTCAGTATGTTTTTTGCACTCGGTCAATTCTTCATTAAGTTATAAATCCAAATTTCGTGCAAATCGAAGGATATATAGGGACTTTGGTGCACTATTTTTTCTAAAATCGGACGAAAATATATATGGGAGCTATATCTAAATATGAACCGATTTTCACGAAATTTTACACACATCGTTCTAGACTTAATTCAGTACGCTATGCCAAATTTCGTGCAAATCGAAGGATTTATAGGGACTTTGGTGCACTATTTACCTAAAATCGGACGAAAATATATATGGGAGCTATATCTAAATCTGAATCGATTTTTTCCAATTTCAATAGGGTTCGTCCTTGGGCCAAATAAGTAAACTGTGCCAAATTTCATACAAATCGGATCATAAATGCGACCTGTACTTTGTTAACAAAAATACATGGACGGACGGAGGGACAGACGGACATGCATAAATCGACTCAGAAAGTGATTCTATGTATATTCCCAAGGGAACCATGTGTCTATTTCGTTTCCTTTTGCCTGTTACAAACATATGCACAAAGACATAATACCCTGTACCACAATGTGGTGAAGGGTATAAAAAGGGGGTTATGTGGGGACTACCACTAAAAAGGGGTGAATATTAATACTTTTTGGTGGGGAGATTTTTTACGATATACGACTACAAAATACCAAATTTCAGCGAATTCGGTTAAAAACGCGCTCAAGAACCTCAAAATATCGATAATTGGGGGTACCCTTATATGAGGGCTAACCGAAAAAATTGACCTATATTTATAATTTTTTGTAGAGAGATTTGCTTCCCAATAAGAACTCAAATTACTAAATTACAGCCAATTCGGTGAAAAAATCCGGTCAAAACCCCCCAAAAACTGGAAATTGGGAGGTACCCTTATATGGGGGCTACCAGAAAAAGTGGACCTATATTTTTAATTTTTAGTTAGGAAATTTGTTAACCAATAAGAACCATATAAACCAAATTTCATCGAATTCGGTTGAAAACCGCGCTCAAGAACCCTAAAATACCGAAAATTAGGGGGTACCCTTATATGGGGACTACCCGAAAAAATTGACCTATATTTATAATTTTTAGTGGGGAGATTTGCTACCCAATAAGAACTCAATGTACCAAATTTCAGCGAATTCGGTCGAAAAATGCGATGAACCCCCTCTAAAATACCGCAAAATTGGGGGTACCCTTATATGGGGGCTATCCGAAAATATAGACCCATATTTATAATTTTTAGTGGAGAGATTTGCTACCCAATAAGAACACAATGTACCAAATTTCTGCGAATTCAGTTGAAAAACGCGCTCAAGAACCTTAAAATACTGAAAATTGGGGGGTACCCTTATATGGGAGCTATGCCTAAACATGGACCGATAAAGCCCATCTTCGAACTTGACCTGCCTGCAGACAAAAGACAACTCTATGCAAAATATTGGCGATCTATCTCCATTCGTTTAGACGATAGAGTGATTACAACAGACAGACGGACATGACTACATCGTCATAGAATTTTACGCTGATCAAGAATATATATACTTTATAGGGTCGGAAATGATTATTTCGATGAGTTACAAACGGAAAAACAAAATTAATATACCCTCCATACTATGGTGGAGGGTATAAAAAGGGGAAAGGAGTGGGAGACATTCAAACTAAGAAAAAAATCTATTTAAACGCTGTGAACATTTAAATATTAAATATTTAATTTCCAATTTTAGGATTTTTATGAATTTTTAATACATTTTATATTCGGACAACAACAAAACAGCTCCTTACTACGACAATCACCTAAGTTTTCATTTCGAACAACAACACCTCATTTGTAATACTTTATGATTACAGATTTTTACCCACTTAACTAAATCGCTCTCCCTCTATCCCTCTCTATTTTATTTATTTACTCAGTTTGTTCACCCACAAAAAATAATGTTTTTTCTCTTCCCCCTTTCAGAATCCATGGATATGGACACGAATACAACCACCTTGCCCACCCACTTTAGTTGGGTACATGCCAATGCCACGGACTCCACATTTTTCCTATTGCTCATGCATCCTGACTTGGCTGCCCCCATAGAACAATTGGGCATGGAAATTGAACAGGATGATAACGAAACGGTCACCGATTTTAAGCAACGTTTCGGCGAGAAACGCCTCTGGGAAATGCAAATCAATGTCACCGATTTGGAGGAATTGGATTTGCGTTGCGGTGGCATTGCTCGACGCCACAACATGTCACATGTCTCCAATGAAACGGTCAATTGCATGGTGCAGCGATGCACGTTTACGTTGAATGCACCGGAAATATGTCCACCCGATTACAAGGAAACGGATAAGACAATATTTTGGATATATTTTATGTTGAGGTAAGTTAAATGAAGAAGAAAAAAGGTGAAACAAGGGGATTATTTTGTAGAAGAAAATGAAGGGGAAATGGGGGAATGCGAATATTTCAATATTTGTACGCTTTTGGGTGTTATTTTTTGGTAGCTTCATTTGAATTGGACAGTGGTTAGCTATGAATAAAATATGTCAGACCACTTTGATTTTAATATCGAATTTAAAAATTAAAAAATCTAAGCCTCTTATACATCCCTCATAAATATTTTTAAAACATCTTAGCCTCCTGTAGACCTCTTAAAAATATTTTTTAAAAAATCCAAGCCTCCTAGATCTCTTAAACTAATTTTAAAAATCACTTCAATCACTGTTTTCGAAATTGCATTTTAAAATAAAATTTCTCCATTGATGTTTTTTTTTGGTGGCGGTTTGGGTTATAGGATACAGGATTACTTCCCTGTTTCTATGCCGTGACACTTTGATCTTTCAATGTTCGTTTGGCAATTTGAACACATGTTATTTGAAATGACATTTGATGTGACTTCAATAAAAAAAAAATTAAAAACAGAAAGGAACGAACTTGTGTCGATGTTATTTTTGTTCAAATTCACATGTTTTTTTCTTGTCTTTTTCGATTGACTGGCATTTGAGGCGTCATTTGGTGGAACATCTTGATTTGCTGTCGCCCAGAGTAAAAAAGTACAATTACAGACAATTTGAGAGAAGTGTTTGGTTTGAAGTGAGTGAAAATAACATATTATTTAGGCCCTTTGAGAAAAGGTCTACAAAAAAGTGGTTTTTTTATATCCATCACCACACCGTGGTATAGGGTATTAAAAGGAATCGACATAGACCCATGGTTCCTTTTAAGAATATGCATAGAATCACTTTCTAAGTCGAATTATGCATGTCCGTCCATCCGTCTGTCCATGTTAAATTGTAAACAAAGTATAGGTTGCATTTATAATCCGATTTGGATGGAATTCCTTACAGCTCATTTATTTGGCACAAGGACGAATCCTATTGAAATTGGGAAAAATCGGTTCAGAGTTAGATATTTTCGTCGGATTTAATGTAAATGGTGCACCAAAGTCTCTATACATGTTTCGATTTACACGAAATTTCGTATAGCGTACTAAACTAAGTCTAGAATAATGTGTGCTAAGTTTCGCGAAAATCGGTTCAGATTTAGATAAAGCTCCCATATATAGTTCCGCCCGATTTTAGGTAAATGGTGCACCAAAGTGTCTGAAAATCATTCGATTATCACGAATTTTGGCATAGAGTACAAAACCAAGTCTAGAATGATGTGAGATAAGTTTCGCGAAAATCGGTTCAAATTAGATATAGCTCCCATATATAGTTTCGCCCGATGTTAGGTAAATGGTGCACCAAAGTACCTATATATCCTTCGATTTGCACGAAATTTGGCATAGCGCAATGAATTGAGTCTGGAATGATGAGTGGTAAGTTTCGTGAAAATCGGTTAAGATTTCGATATAGCTCCCATATATATTTTCGTCCAATAGATAAATGGTTCACCAAAGACCCCTAGGTTTGCCGATTGACAAAGAAGTTGGCACAACGTACTGAAGTTAATATAACCTAGCTTGAAGCAACCCAATGAAAAATTTAGTATAGATTATGGATCCATTTTCATGTTAATGGTCCTTCAAAATTCGACGTCTGTTTGGATTCATCTGTTGAATATACCCATAGTGGTGCATTAGTCGGCCCCGTCCGACTTTACTACTTTCCTTATTGGTTTTCCGATTGAGACAAAATGTTGCACAGAGTATTGAATTAGGCCCAGATTTGTTCGATTGAGACAAAATTTTGCACAGAGTACTGAATTAGTCGATTAGCACAAAATTTTGCATAGTCCAAATTTATGTACGCGAAGTTTGGTTGAAATCTGTTCAGATTTAGATATAGCCTTGGAATTTGCGTCGAGAAAAATTGTGAATAGCACACTGTGTCCATTTATATATAGATCTTTTACATATTTTGCTCGATGATTGACATTCAATTTTTCATAAATTTCAAATTGGTACCAAAGTGGCGAAGGGTATTATATAGTCGGCCCCGTCCGACCTTTGAGCCTTCCTTACTGTTTTTTTTTTAATCCACGCCTCTTATTGACCCCTATTATAGTCTTTGAAGAAATAGCCATTAAAAAATCGATCGATTAAAATATTATGAATCACAACCTCATGCTAGAGGGTATATTAGGTATCGGCCCAGTCGAATTTAACATTTTTATGACCTGTTTATGTATTTATTTTGCAATTTTCTCTTGAGAGTGCTAATTTATAGTTTCAAATTACTTGTAACCTAATAAAATACAATCCCATTTGACATTTTTATTTCCAACGACATTTCAATTATTTGTTGAAAAAAATTCCAATAGAAAAATTTCACACACATGCGTATACATTGAAATATGTGACTGTATTGAATGTCATGCCGAACATTTGCGTATGTACCAGACAACAACAAAAAAACGGCCATGCCAGGATATCATTTATCAATATGTATAACAATTGAATGTCATTGTGTCTGTTAATGGATATGAGAGAAGTGTTTAGCTATTCAGGATATTTGAAACATATATTTTGTCGTTGTTGTTGTTGTTGGTTTTTTGCTTTGTGCTGAACAGCAGATATTTGAGAAGATTTACTGACATTATTTAAACAAATAAGGCAGCAAATTATCCGAAAAATGCCTCCATTATAATTCAATGATAATCAAAGGGGAGGATGGTTGTATGACAAGAGTGTGTGTGAGTGAGGGTGTGTGTAGGAGTTTATTGATGATTGTGTATGTGTGTATGAGTTTTTTCAAGATATTATATTTGCAAATAATGATTTGGAAAATAAGATGTTAATCGAATATATTTTAGTTTATTGCTAATGCGATTTACTAGATAATGTGAGAGATTTTCCAATTTATCATTTGAATGAATGAGAAGTGGATAATGGGCTCACAGACAAATTATGTACTGTTGTTATAAAGATTTGATTTATTTCTGGTAATTGTTTGGGACAATTGAATATATATATATATATATATATATTACCAATATATTGATAAACTATAAAGAAGAGAATGGAAAAGGATATTGAGTAATATATGAAATTGTTCTACGCCAAATAAATTGAAAAAAAAAACAAGTGAAAAAGCGTTAAGTTCGGCCGGGCCGAACTTTGGATACCCTCCACCATAGCTATACTAACAGATACATGCAATGCAAATATAGGGAACATACCAAAAAGCGGGCATATACCGATAATTCTACAAGTGGGCAAATATATCGATATGTAAACCATTATGTACACCAAATACAAACTTCAGAAATTTTTAATGGGGATTTTTCCTAAAATCTGTAAGATCCAAAAAGTGGACTGATACTGATAACGCATGGTATAGTATAAAATCCTCAAACTACTGTAATTTACATTACAAAGATATATGAGGCTATGACTAAAGGGGGACCGATATTGATTACATAGTGAAGGAAGTAGTGAATATTTGGGGATATCATTATATGAGGGCTATGCCTAATTAAAGACCGGTATATGCCAATTTTGAACCCAATATTTTAATTGTTTATCTCAATTCTTTCCTTCAGGTGGTATCGCTATATTGAGGAGATGAGTTTTTTATCACAATATCTTTAGAAGGCGGAATGCTTACAACAGATGGCTAAACAGTCTATGTAGGCTAAAAATTTACTATTCCCCGTAACGACTACCCAACCGCAACACACGGAACAAATCAAATAACTATTTTATTATAAAAAGGGGGTTATATGGGGACTACCCCTAAAAACGGGTGAATATTAATAATTTTTGGTGGGGAGATTTGTTAACATATACGACTGCAAAATAAACATTTCAGCGAAATCGGTTGAAAAACGCGCTCAAGAACCTCAAAATATCGAAAATTGGGGGTACCCTTATATAGGGACTACCCGAAAAAATTGACCTATATTTATAATTTTTTGTGGAGAGATTTGCTACCCATCAAGAACTCAAATTACTAAATTACAGCCAATTCGGTGAAAAAATCCGGTCAAAACCCCAAAAATTGGAAATTGGGAGGTACCCTTATATGGGGGCTACCAGAAAAAGTGGACCTATATTTATAAATTTTTAGTGGGGACATTTGGTACCCAACAAGAACCCAATGTACCAAATTTCAGAGAATTCGGTTGAAAACCTCGCTCAAGAACCCAAAAAAAACCGAAAGTTGGGGGGTACCCTTATATGGGGGCTACCCGAAAAAATTGACCTACATTTATAATTTTTGTATAGAGATTTGCTACCCAATAAGAACTCAAAGTACCGAATTTCAGCGAATTCGGTCGAAAAATGCGATCAAACCCCCCAAAATACCGCAAAATTGGGGGTACCCTTATATGGGGGCTATCCCAAAATATGGACCTATATTTATAATTTTTTGTGGAGACATTTAGTACCTAATACGAACTCAATGTACCAAATTTCAGCGAATTCGGTTGAAAATCGCGCTCAAGAACCCTAAAATACCGAAAATTGGGGGGTACCCTTATATGGGAGCTATGCCTAAACGTGGACCGATATAGTCCATAGACTCTATGCAAAATTTTAGCGTTCTATCTCGATTCGTTTAGACGCTAGAGTGATTACAGCAGACAGACAGACAGTCGAACAGACGGACATATGAGAGCTATATTTAAATCTGAACCGATTTTCAGGAAACTTAAATTCGAAACATAAAACAAAACTTAAAAAAAATTCGTGCAAATCTAAAGGTATATAGGGAAAATATATATGGGAGCTATATCAAAATGTGAACCGATTTTCACGAAACTTAATACTCATCATTTTAAACCTAAATAATTAGGCTGTGCAAAATTTCGTGCAAATCGAAGGATGTATAGGGACTTTGGTGCACCATTTACATTAAATCGGATGAAAATATATATGGGAGCTATATCTAAATCTGAACCGATTTTAACGAAACTTAGCACACATCATTCTAG